CCCCCAGGTCCAGGACATGTACCCACCCCCTATTGGAGGCAGCACACACCCGAACCCAGGAGGTAGACCCAATCATTCTGAGGTGGAGAGGAAGGTATCAATCTCTTAACAGTGGAAATGTTATTTTCCTGTTTCCTGGATGAAGCTAAGGAAGAAGAAAGACACCTGGTCTGAGATCAGAACCCTGTAGAACACCRCAACCATCTTTAGAAAGTAGGTAACTTATTGTGAACATGTACARAATGGAATCGCTGGATGATATGAACAAAATTTTATATCACAGTATTTTTAATAATTAGAATGGTATGAAGGTGTTTTTCTTTTCATGCATATCTGCATGCTCACATTTCCTAAAACACACGCAAATATTATTACAGGCTTTCTAGAAATGAAAGTGTTTTCAGGGCAGTGTCACTTAAAACTTTCTTTTCCTCTGAGCACTTGGTACAACACAGGAATCACTATTTGGCCAAAATATTAATGACCTGGTATCACACAGCTGCTATCGAGCATTTTGACCACAGCTCTGAAACCTTCTTTTATCAAGGTGAACAGAACCCTAAACTTTAACTTGAAAGAGTYTGCAGAATAACATCATTGTTTAAATAACATCAGAGCTTTCAAAGTCAAAGTACAGAAACCCCCACCATTAACAGCATAAGTTCTTCTTAGGTGTCACCTTCACTAGTGGATTTTTTTCTTAAACAACTGTGTAGAATAGAAGGTAATAAAGTATTTTATAATTTTTTTTACTGTCACATCATTTTGTTTTGTTGTAGTAAGTTAATACAAAACTTTTTTATTTGCCTAAAATCTTTGTCCAGTGTTATATCATAATTTACTAACCAAAGGCAAAATGTCATAATTTTTCAATGAACACGAGAAGTATTGGTATYGGAATCTGCAATACTAGCCCCGCATTTACTTGGCATTAGATCAATACCAAAAGCCCTAGTATCGCCCACCCCTAGCATGTGTATTCAGCAGTGTGCAGCAAGAAAAAAGTTCCCCCCGGAAACAATTAATTGGTGGGTGCCATGTTCTGAATGTTGCTCTGGCCATTTAATGCCATGGAATATACATATTGTAAAAAAAAATATTTTTTATATGAACCAGCACCTCCCAGCTCTTCTGGGAGGTACTATTAGAGGTACTGTTAGATAAATGTTGCTTAAACCAGATTAAAACAATATCTTTAATCCCAAAACTATGTTGAAGTCTATATTCAGCTGTTGGTTCAGTACTGCTGAGTACAGCACATACAGTGGATCTAATAGAACCAGCACTGACTCTGGTTCTGTTTTAATACCTGTGCACTCTATTCATTTATCATTTTTATCTCTTCTTCTAGGGACATGCTAAAACTCCTGGCAGAGAAGAGGACATTTCCTGGCATAGCTACCTCTCCTCTCCTCTCGTCTCCTTCCATCCACAGCTCCCCTTTCACCTCCATTTTACCTGTTAGGCATCTCCTTTCCTTATTCTCCCTTTACATCCTCCATCCCATGCCACCATGACAACCTCTGCCCTGCGACGTCAGGTGAAGAATATTGTCCACAACTATTCAGAAGCAGAAATCAAGGTATTTGAACAACACGTTTATTTTGTTTAACCTTCTGGTCATTTAGGAACAGTAAACTGATGAAACGTCTCGATGGCTCAGAATGCACTGATCCTCTTCCCTCATTTTTGCTTCAACGTTGGACTCTTTATGCTTCAATGATGCCAATACTCCTGAATAAAGAAAATGTGGTCTTTTCTGTGTCACTATGAAGGTCCGCGAGGCCACTTCGAAYGATCCATGGGGCCCGTCCTCTTCTCTCATGTCAGAGATCGCTGACCTGACCTTCAACGTTGTGGCGTTTGCTGAGGTCATGGGGATGGTGTGGAAACGCCTCAACGACAGCGGCAAGAACTGGAGACACGTTTACAAGGTGTCTCTTCTTGAAAGTTCTTTTTACGTACAAGTCCTTGAGATAAAAGTATCATTTTGTGTGTTTATGTGCATATTTGCACCTAATAAAAAAACTTTCAGTTGGATGATCAATGTTTCTCTTCAGGCCCTGACTCTGCTGGATTATCTGCTTAAGACCGGGTCAGAGAGAGTGGCCCAGCAGTGCCGGGAAAACCTGTTCACCATTCAGGTACCCAGTACACTGTTCAACTAGCATGAAGCTAAGATTTAATGAATGCCTGCTTGGATTTTAAGGCAACTTTCAGGAAGCTAATCAATGGCTGTACAGCTACACGTTTGCTAACACAAAGTTGTCTTTAACTCAGTCGATTTTACTGAGCTAAAATTTGATGGTGTGGTAGCTGAAAATAATTCCAAGCACATGTTCTAAGCATCTTACAGTATTGCATGAGATTGCATATTTTGTTGTTTCTTTAAGGATTGACCAAAACTGTATACTTCCATCATTTCTGAGCACAAGATAAAGTCTAAGCGCTGGCTTGAAAYGGATCAGGAAACATGAATTCCTCCAAGGACTGCTGATCTTATTCCTTTCTCCATAGAAAAGAAACTTTTACTTTTTTAAAGARGTTGTAAACATTCAGGTTTTTTCATTGAGTCTTGGCTGCTTTTTAAATACATTTTCATACCTGATCATGTTAGATTTCTTTAATTATTCAGCCATCATTCAATAACYACACTGTAAGAAAAAACACACCTTATCTATTCAATAAAAATGAGGCAACAGATTACAAACAATATTATTTATAAAATTTTACAGTGTTTGGAATTGAGTAAATATTAATTAAATGCAACTCTTAAAAAAAAGTGAAGAAAGACCGTCCATCATTAAACAGAGGTGGAGGCCTCCGTTTTCAGTTGTCCCCCTCCTACAGTGCTGCTATTGCCAGTATCACTCCACCCCGTAAACAATAAGTGTTAATTAGGTGTCAATGATAGCCATGTGATGTGAGTATCAGTCACATGAAGGCAGTGCTTAAAAGCCTGAATTTWGCCTGAAACTCTCAGACTGAAGAAGTCTCTTGGAGGAGAGACGAAAYGTTTCATTAGAGAAGAACCCGTCCAGAAGACCTATACAATTTTTTTCTTTTTGATTTTTACCTGGATTACTGAGATGCATCAGGACGCAACTCTAAATAGTTATTAATTTAATATAAATAGATCTGAATAGAAAACAGTTCATAATTATTTAAAACCTACACAAAAATATTGAATGGAATTAAAAACAATAAACTTCTCAATGTGTAAAAAGCAGTGGTGGGCACCAGTCTGCTAAAGCGCAAATCTGCTAATTGCGGACAAGAACATTTTGTTTGCTCTTTAGCGGTCTTACTAATTTCTATAATTCATAAGCAGATTTACGCTTTTTAAATTTAAATTGCAGTTCCGCTAATAAATAATAATGTACCATCATCATTATCTTATCTTATCTCATCTTATCTTGGACAGTGGAAGGTATGACTGTCAGGACTCACAATGTATGTGATCCATCCAACAGCTCCCCTATATACTATATTTGGGGAGGTACACRTCCTTCCTGACTGTCGCTTTGGGTCACGATTCAGTCGGTTCTTATTTTAGTAGGTCAGCTTTGTGAAGTATTTTTGCTGGCAGCAATCTAAATTGCTCATATGGCTTCTGTTAAATTATATTCAGTAGCCAGCAAGGATCCACATTTTACAGACATTTCCCACAATGCTTTGTGTCTGCTTACATAGCAGGAAAGCAGTGTTTAGAACTCCCTTTCCCAGCAAAAACAGTAAATGTTTGTRATCCATACTAAAATTTTGAATGTATTGATTTATTTTACTTTACAATCGGAGCTCCCTTTTTAAAAAAAAACAAATAACGTTTAAACGCTGGAGCTCAATACTTGACATAACTGGTCGAAGCAACTGGAGAACCAGTTACATTTTGATATATGATCAGTGAAAGAAACTTTTTGTCATCTCTCCTCAAATGTCTTGTGGCTGGAAGTTCACGTTTTTCAAAAAGGAAAGAGAAAGTGCACTTTGACAGGAAGTGCTATTCAAGTAAAAAATACCTGATTACATTAATTTGAAATCATTCAATATTCTTTTTTTTATTTAGAATTACATATGTTTTACTTAACTACAATGACTGAATTTTACTCCAAACATTTTTATTTTAAATTTAATTAAATTGTTGCCTCAAAATCAAAAACACAATTATATTGAATATATTTTACACAATATATTAATTAAAATGTACATAGCTACAAAATCATTTCTTCCAGTGTACCTTTTAACTGTACTGGTGTTGCATATAATACAGAACAGACATAAAACATAAAACAACTACTACTAACCGTGCTGAAATTAAGTTTAAATCTGGACTACCAGAGGTGTATGTAGTGAAGAAGGAGGATCTCTCAACCCTAAACAGATTAGTTGTTTTTAACATCTCACTGAGACACTGATCATCTGCTATACATTGTTTTTAGGCCTGCCACTTCCAATTTATTTAGGTTAGGTTCACTAAAGGGTTTGATCTCATTGCACTCTTAGGGAAATCGTGTAATTAAAAAAGATAATCCTAATCAAACAAAAACATTTGAGAAAGTTCCCTTAATATTTCTTTAGCTCAACTGCAAATTGCAAACAAAATTGATGATTCAAACATGGGTGTGTTTCTTAGTAAGAAAGCGTAAAACTTGTTTGAGAAATAATCTTTTCTGCTGTTTGGCCTGAGGAGCATCGATCAAAGGCCTCAGACTCCACATTTGTCTTTTCTCCTTTCCGTCAGTCATTGAACTTTTCAGGAAACCGACAGCAGCTTGATTGGATTTGGAGAATGAGGTGCTCAAAAAAGCTTGTGCGACACTGAGCTAAAATTATGGACGTATGAGAAAAAACAAAACATATTTYAGGAACTTTGATGCAAAACCTTAAAGTCAASTCAATGTRTTTATAAAGCACATTAAAAACAAYAAGCTGTAATCAAAGTCCTGCACAACAATAATAAAATGTATAAAACTGTAAAGATGTCTAAGTCTGTCTAATGTTAGAAGACAGATTGTTCCAAAGATTAGGATCGACAACTGAAAAAACCCCAATCTCCTGTGAGCCTCAAATGATTACATCATCTTTAAAGACTTAAATTATTCTAGAAATATACRAAGGCTTTTTACTGACCCAAATGAACATATTAAAAGTTGAAAAAAGACATACCTTCTTTAAAAGTTTGTGTTGCGTGCTTCTCAATCAGACGCTGCGTGACTTCCAGTACATGGACCGTGACGGCAGAGACCAGGGCGCCAACGTTAGGGAAAAAGCTCGCCAGCTGGTATGTCTGCTGCGGGACGAGGACCGGCTCCGCCAGGAGAGGAGCCAAGCCCTGAAGACCAAAGAGAGGATGGCCGGAGGAACCGGAGGGAGCGGGGGCATGTACGGAGGCATTCCCCCATCTTATCACCCGGGCAGACGCACAAGTCAGCCCAGCATGGCTGTGCTGTACGGAGAAGAGTTCAGCCGCTCCAGAGGCTCCCCGTCCTCCTTCAACTGTGAGTTTCAACTCATCTGGAGCTATGATTTTTTTTTCTTTTTGTCAGCTATGAATAAACAGATCAAGAATTTTAAATTTAATTGTAATATCTAGATTTACTATCAATACTATKGCTCAGACTGGAAAATAATCTTTCACTTTGAGTACTCTTTGTCCCTGTGCATCTGAACTTGTACCACACTGAATGAGCGTTCTGTCACACAAAGTAGTTCCTTCTTTATGCTGAAAGGCAGCAGTGGATTATTACATTTTAACATCTCTGTGTGTTTGTGTGTGTCTCGGTTGCCAAAATATCTCAGAAAWTACTAGACAAACTCTAACGAAACAAACAAAAAGATCAATCAGTAGATGTACAACCAGTGCTTTAAGTGTATGCAGTACCACCACTTCTCAGTTTGTCTTTTCTCGTGTGCTGACTGAATTTATGAACAGAAAAGCATGACAGAGAATGGAAAAATAAGACGAAAAAATTCATGAAAACAGGGAATCCGGTGCTGAACAGTAAAAAATCAAGAGTTTGCGTGGCAGATCGGTTGTAACACATGAGGCGTCACTGGTGAGTGAGATACTGGTAAACATGAATCAATAAAAACAGTCGGGAGACAGATTAATAACGTAAGAGAAACTAAAGAGAACTCATTAAGTGAAGAAAAGAAAACTAAACAGAAATGCATGAAGAACAAAATGCAAGAATAAACTAAGAAACTAAATAACAAACAAACCAGAAGGGCTATGGCAAGACCTTTTGAGTAATAATTAATCCAGGAGACAAACAGCAAAATACACGATCTGAATAGAAATAAGAACACAGATTATGATAGGAAACAATATTCAGGAAGGGAAACAGCAATACACTATGAAAATAAACATCAATCTCTGTGCATTGTTGCCCAAACCAAATTCTGGAAGTGGTCATTCAACTAGATCTGTTACAAAAGGACAACTAATATTACCAACTTTTAAAAACTGTTACGAC